ATTGGTTTTTTTTTTTTTTTTTTTTTTTTGCTTGTAAATCGCATTCTAACCATAAGTGCCATATTGTAACTTTGATTTTCATTTAATCTACTGAGAAGTTTTGTCGGATAAAAAGTCATGTTGAGTTTTATATATATTATAACAATTTTTTTTGCACAGCTTGTGGTACTTTGCAATCATGTTTTCTTTGAGTAAACGTCATGGGTTGGTTTCATTCTGTAGTGAAAAAAAAATTAAGCCGTCACATGGCGAAAAAGTCACAGTGTATTTTGCTTTGAATCAGGAATATTTTAATTATTAACTGTGCGCTGTTTGGCTTACAGTGAGTTAGATTTAGCAAACCCGTATATACAATCATTGTATTGCAGGTCAAGCGTAATAAACTTTACGGAGTTTGAGGTTTTGCTTCGCCATCAAAAACTTACCAATGCGCATGACTTTGATGTAAGAGTCAAGATTGCTGAATGTGATGGACCCATAGATACAGCTCGACAACCTGTAAGTTTACATGTACTGTTCAATTTATAATCATTAGTGAACTACGCTTAGCTAGTTAACTTACCGAAGTCGACTATAATGTAGCCAACTACGAGTGTTTCACAAAGAATATAAAATTCTAGCTTCCTACGTCTTAGTTAACTCTCTTGTTTCCAATCTGTTAAACTAATTGCAATCAGCAAGAGTCCCCGTGGAATTAATGCGCATTAACTGCTTCGACATAACTCATTCTGAAATTTTCCAAACACTTAGAGTAGTCTTTACATGTAATATGATATCGATTGAGGGGTGCTCCCTTGGGCAGAGGTTTTATCTTCAATATACCAGTGTCTTGTACCCATATCATACGCCAGTCAAAATGAATCCAGTTTGTGCCATGTTGAGATTGTGGACGCCATTAAAGTGACCCCCTTACTCCAGCTAAAGTTGCCAGTCTCCCTCCGTGTTTCAGATACATAAGAGGCCATTCAGAACAGAAGATCGGAGGATCTACTGATCCACGGGTCAAATATGGCGGACCCTACATGAAAGAAGAGCCGACTAATTCGCTGATGGCCTCCCCGCCTCCACACGCGACGTCCTTGCATGGGTCTAGCAATTTAAACCTCGGAGCTGTGATTTAATCCTTTAAATGGCGCGTGTGGAGGTTGGGAGACCAGCTGATTTGTCGGCCCTTATTTCATGTAGGATCCGCTATATTTGATCCGTGGATCAGTAGATTCTCTGATCTTCTCTTCTGAATGGCTTCTAATACTGCTTGATGTGAAAACAGCCTTCACCCATAATTGACCAAACGTGATCAATTGACCATGGTCCTTGTACATCACTTCTGAATAAAACAGATTATTGAGCTTTCAGCATTAGTTATTTTTGTTTAATGGGTACAAGAGTTCTATAAAATGTTCTTTTTTGACTATTCTGATGGAAATTTATCTGCATAGTATTGTCATTCCGAGTATTGTTATTTGATTGGATAAACACTAAAATGTTGAGAAAAAGGATTTCCAAATTGTTGTCCGTCACCACCTTTGAACTAAGCCTTACCTGCTTTTAATCTCTTCACTTCCTCTTTCAACCTTTTAATATTAGGCTACTCTTTAATTTTTTAAAATTTTTTCATGCCCTGAACACTTTTCTATTACAATGTAGCTCAAGTGGGTTTTGAAACTGCTCACTTGGAAGCAATATTTTGTATGCCATGTAACTTTGTAAGTAACTCAGAAATTATCTGGTTTCAGGGCGCGTATATCTCTGAGAACACTGGCTCTCACAAGGAAAGATTTGATGAGTCCGGCAATGGCGGGGGACGTGAAGATGCTGTTGAAAACAGTGGATATGTTGGACGTTACCAGGGCGCTGGAAGATATAACCCCAAGCACTGAATTTAGAAAGTCAACTTTTCGTAGATTATTATGCAACGTGCTTATATGTAGGAGGTCTTTTAATATGTTGTTTAGAAAAAGCGGCTTTTGGTTCTGAGAAACATTTTAATAGCCAAGTTTAATCTCAAACAATTTGTCTTTGCTTGTTGGAGTAAAAATTCTTTTTAGATATAGATTCTAAGCCTTGGTGGACTATTTTAAACAATTTTAATTTAAGAATGTTCAGATAGTGAAACTCAACTTTTCGTAGATTTTTGTGCAGTGTGTTTATATGTAGGCAGGCTTTTTAATATGTTGTGTAGATTCTAAGCCTTGATCGATTTTAAACAGTTTAAACTTAAAAATGTTCAGATAGTGAAAAGTAACTGAAATATTTGTGTGACCACATGTTATTCTCATATTACGTGTCATCACCTCAGTTGCGCGTTTATAGAAAAATTAAGGGGAAATTTACAGGATTATTTCAAACAATGCAATTAGACCAAAATAAATTGCTTCAGTTTAAAAACAAGCATGGGTGGCTCTAAATTGAAGAAATCAATAATAATAATAATAGTCATGGTATAAGATAAAAAATAAATGAAAAAGTCAGGATATATAAATTATTAAATAAGGACAAACAGGTAAAATAAAGTAAAATGAAGTAAGAAGAAATGAACTTTAAAAAAATGAAAATAGCATCATGTTAAGTCATTTTGAAGCCCATTTCGTTTGCATTTGGAAAACCATGGATATGGGAAGTGTCCAATATGGGTCGCCGATCAAAATGCTTCATGTGACGTTAAAGGAACAACCCTAAAAAGGCCCTACACCAGGCTTGCGTGCAAACCGTTGTATTCCAGATGGAATTGCAAAGACAGCGACAATGTTTTTAAAAGGTGATAGTAATCAGGGCCAGGTTGCACCAACAGGGCGTAAATTTACTCGGCTACGACTGTCGTAAACCGCAACGCCTGGCGTCCGTGCGCCAGGTTTACTCTCCCTGCTTACGCCCGTTGCACCAAGACAAAAACTGATCGTCGTAACTACGCCCGAGTAACGCTCCGTTGCATCACTGACCAACAATACGTGAATGGTATAATTGGGCAAATGAGGAGTTCTCAGCTGCAGTCATAATGGAATAATGACATAAATAAACACAAACGGAGCATTTCAGTGACGGAGAAATTCATAAGCTACATTATTCCATTTTGATTTAGAAATAAAAATGTTAAAATACGTTAACTTTGCTGTTGCCTTGGATATATAGCAATAAAATCGTAAATATATTCCGGATCAAATTATTATTATTATTATTATAGTATGCTATTATAGTATGCTGTTGTAAATGAGAAAAAACGCGTTGGAGGCAGTATGTATTTCTATTAATGGATTTGAACATCTTCACATTTGTTATTGAAACTTTTGAGTCTGAAAATAATCCAAAAACGCCAACATTGCTTTCTTTTTATAATTTTACAACAGTGCCGACAATTTCATGACCTTCTTATCTATGGTTACACCGTGAGGTATCATTTAATTCAATCGAGCTTACATCTTGGAGATTAAGGCTGTATTTCCAGAGCTTTTAGATCGATCTATCCCCGCGGGGAGTCTCACTAGATTACTGTCAGATAATCCGGCTTAAGTGTCCGTCCCGCCCACTACAAGCTGTAAGGGGGTAATTAACTTTCGTGTCCGCTCGGCTGACAGCTATTTAGCGTGATCCCCCCGGGAGTTAGGTCGATCTAAAGTAGATCGATCTAATCTCTGGAAATGGGGTCTTAGAAATACAAGACACCTAATACATATCATATGAGCCTTAAAATGTTGATATTTTTAGCTTTCGTCTCTATGTTTATATATAGTAAAATATGAATGATATAAAATGTAAAGAAAAAAAATGACTATGGTTAGTTATGGTTTGTCAAAAATTGTGAAAAGAATTAAAGAAACCGTACTGCTGAGAGCCAAGACATACCTACATGAGTGTTAAGATTTCATTTGAACATATGCATATACAAGTACATGGCTACACATATAATGTATTAAGTAATCACTTATAATTGTATATATATATATAATTAGTTTTTTTAAAAACCAAGATATACAGACGGAAGTTTTGTGTAAGAAACAAACAAATAACAACCCACATTTTCTACGTTAACTACGATAATTGTCATCAAACTCTCTCTGGGCTAGCCTAGCCATGGTGGAAAACGAGCTTCGACCGACTTGCACCACCTAGCTGGCAGGCGTAAATTTACGACTAAGTTAAGACCGACGTAAACACTATCTAGTTTGGTGCAACTGGCTTTACTCGGGCGTAGCGTTTTGCGCCCGGTTTACGCCGGCGCAACTGCTACGCCCCACTTACGACCGGTTGGTGCAACCGGGCCCTGATCCACGGATCAAATATGGCGGACCCCACATAAAAGAAGGGCTGACTTACCCGCTGGTTCCCTGCAAAGACGGCGCGTGCGAAGCCGGGGAGGCCATCAGCGGATTTGTCAGCTCTTTTTTCATCTAGGGTTCGACTTATTTGATCCGCCAATCAGTAGATCCGAGGATCACATGTTGTGAATGCCCTCTTAGACGACGTAAGATTACATAAAAAGATTCACTTGGGTGATAACGACGTTCCACTACTAATTAACGTAGTTGGACGGAAGCTGATAAAATAACAGGTCTTTTTGTCGCGGGCTGCGACCGCATGTTACCTCCAACCTTAAATTTATAAATACAATAGGCAAGAGCCTGCTCTCCTACGTGAGATAACAATGACGATCAGCCACAGCCACACTCATTTATGAGATAACAATTGGTTTAAATGCCGATGACCAGTGTCTGATCCACTGAATGAACCACACAGAGTAGTAGCGAACCGGGAGGAATCACTGCATCGTGAGACACCAGCAACGAGAGACCTGTACTTTCTAGCCTCCATATGTGATTATCCCTCTCTAAAAGTCAAAGCTGACCATAAAGTAAGTTGATCAGGGTGTAACAAACGTCTCTGTGTGTATGACTGTCACTCAGACTGTAGCTAACACAAGAATAACTCTAACCTTTGCCACTGGGGTTCACTTTACTTGGCGGCAAGACAAACTGAATCCGTTTCTTGTTCTTTGAACAGGTTTTGGTGCGAGTAATTTTATATACATACCTTTGTCTGCTGTCATTTTTGCTTGGGTTGAGGAGGAGGGGCAAAAGTTTATTTAACTCCAAGATTCCGGTGCGAGGATGGTTTTATTACCCATATATAAATACCCTTCTAGGTCCATTTTGATACTATGTAGTGATACTTTTTGGTACATAGATTTAAAATGGTTCTTTCATTTCAACTTGATTATACATGTAAAGAACTCTTACTTATTCTTGGGGTAGCGTAAGGGAGGCCCTTGCTTCAGCCCGGACTATATATGCTTTGAAGCATACTGCTATTATCCATTTTTCAAGATTTTTACAAAATTATTCTCTAATCCTCCATATTTGGACACTTTTGGGTACGGTTTCTTTAATATTTATTCACGTCAAAGTTTTCGAATTTTTTTCCTGAAAAAAAGGTTTTGGGGTTATTTAAAACAATCCAAACCAGGATTTTGAACGCATTCTAAGCACATGAATTGCTTCTTGTTAAAAATGAAAACCTTCAAAATGTGTTTTGACAGACAAATGGCCTTAAATCATTGTCGTGGAATAATAATTATAATGGTCGCCGCCCTTTGCTCCTTTGGAATTAACGCGGGTCAAGGCATGAAACTTAACTTCAAATTACAGACCTGTAGACGTAGTTAAACTTAATTTGAAGTTTCCTGACTACACTGCGATCTGATCTTTAGACGGGATAACTTAATTAACCCAAGCCATCTAATATGCAAATTTAATTAAGGAATTGTACCATGTGATGCACGCAACAAACGGTGAATATCTTCTACCTCTTGGTATGTAATTTTAAATTTTACATTAGATGCAGCTCTGCGACTGCACTATATAATCAGGAGACTTGCACCCCATTTCCATAGATTTTTAGATCGATCTATCCCTGTGGGGAGTCTCACTAGATTACTGTCAGCTTGGCCGGCTTAAGCGTCTGTCCCGCCTACTAAAAGCTGTAAGGGGGTAATTAACTATGGTGCCCGCTCGGTTGACTGCAATTTAGCGTGAACCCCCAGGGAGTTAGGTCGATCTAAAACTTAATCTTTAGATCGATCTAAATCTCTGGGAAAGCACCCTTGGAAGCTATAAGAATACGGTATTACATATTTGATCTAAATACTACTATTACTCTGGACATGCCAGTCTACTGTAAGTACAATGTCTATTTACTGACATAACTGAGCCCCATCTTTTCATAAGTTTTCTCCAGAACACTTGACCAGATGATTAATAATCATTGAGGCTTGAAAACATTTATGTAGCTGTATGCTCCAGTGCTTGCATAGTAAATAGTAGGTTGAAAATGATATGCTTTAATGAACACAGTGAAATCGCAAAATCGCGGCCTTAATCTATCGTCTCTTCACAAGCAGTCTGTTTGTACTCGCTCTGCCAAATGTAGCTGCCAAATATTCAAGATTGCTCAGTGTATTTCTTCTTTTGTTCTGCCAGACGCCATGTAATGCTTAAAATGAAAACTCAGATTGCACTATATATATATATATATATATATATATATATATATATATATATATATATATATATATATATATTCCCTTCCACTGAATCCCTTTTCCGTGAGAAATGCGTGCCCTGAGACGAAAGGGTTTTACTTATCAATGAAAGACATATTTGTTTCCAGATGAAGTGCATGTTGTTTTCTTTTAATATTTCTTTCTTTCATTTATAGATATTATATCCAATTTGTCAAGATGAGTGAAAGTGGTCTGAAAGCCAAGTTTTTAGAGTTCTGTGCAGAAGGGCGCGACAAAGTGGATTCGGCAAAACTGTCGAAAATATTTAGAGATTGTAAACTATTAAACAAGAAGCTAACCGCAACTGACGTGGATATTTTATTCAATAGAACGGCTAATGGGTAAGTCATTTTACTTTTTTTTTCCTGTATCTATTCCTTTGGTCTGTCAGGGTTTGATTTTCCCCATGCATCTAAGCGGTGATCTCACCGTAATTGCTACGCTGTATTTTGTTTAACATAAAAATTGGCTTCTCTATCGGATAAAAATGCCAGTAGAGTTGGAAAATCAGCATGATTAGTGCAATTTACGAAAGTCATTGCATTTTTTGCATGCATGTTTTTAATGACGTTCCAACCAGAATTGCTAAATTGCAAATTTCATTTACTTTAAATTTACAAGGAAGTTTTGTTTAATAAAAAGTCATGTTTTTTAAATATAAATTTAACCAAAGTGGTGGTTTGCATTTATGTTTTTATTTATTTGAGTTAATGTCATGGGTAGGTTTTATTCTGTAGTCAGAAAAAAAGGCGCTTTATAAGCTGTCACATATTAAAAACGATAAAAAATGTCAAAATGTATTTTGCTTTGAATCACGTGGAGATTTAATTATTAATTGTGCAGTGCTTGGATCGCCGTTAATAAGATCTAACAAATGTATTTACGTGTACAATCATCTAATTGCAGGGCAAGATATATTGACTATCAGCAGTTTGAAGATTTGCTGGACAATGAAAGAGTAAAAGAGGCACATCCTAATGTTGATATTAAAGCCAAGATTGCCGAAAGTGATGGGCCCAGGACATTTGAAAAATCTGTAAGTTTACATGTGCTGGCCCCCGTTCAATTTAAAATCCTTAGTTGTCTACGCTTAGCTAGATGTCTCAAAGAGGTGATTACATTGTAGCAGACCAAAGAACCTAAGACCCCATTTCCACAAATTTTAGATCGATCTTTCCCCATGGGGAGTCTCACTAGATTACTGTCAGCTTAGCTGGCTTAAATGTCTGTCCCGCCTACTGTAAGGGGGTAATTAACTTCCGGCTGAGAGCAATTCAGCGTGAAGTTAGGTCGATCTAGTTGGAACGATCTAAATCTCTGGGAATGTGCTCTAAGACCCTAGCCCTATACCTAGCTAGATTGATCAAGCCGGCAGCACACCTTTAAATCATTTGCCGCGTTAGGGGATTACGCGGCAAGCTTTCAAGTGGGTTCGCCGTTTTTGATACGCGGATCCATTCCTCCTCGGGCCAACCTGACTCTGAACAGGCCCTTACTCTGTCATATTTTTATTTTCCTTCCCTGAACACTTCTGTGTTTACTTAAGTAACTCAAGTGTATGTTGAAACTGCTTACTTGGAAGCATTTTTGTATGATATGTAATTTTGTTAGTAACTCAGAAGTTTGTGGTTTCAGGGCAGGGGTGGAAACTGACTAGGTTGCACGTTTGACGGATACTTCCAAGTACAGTGCACGTGGCTCTGACAAGGAAAGTTTGATGCCAATAAAGACAATGGAATGGAAGGCCGTGCAGATGCTGACAACAGTGGATATGTTGGAAATTACACAAGGGTGCTGGAACATATGACGCTAAGCTTTGAGATCAAAAACTCAACTTTTTTTTTTTTTTTGCATCTGATGCTTTGTGATCATTAGTTGGCAGGCATAATATGTCGTTTTAGAAAAGAGCAGAGAAAGAGTCCACAAACTAAATAAAAGTTGGCTAACTTTGATTTTATTTCATAAAATAAACAATTCTGGCAATTAGAAACTAGTGTTGTTTTTAAAAAAAAAACGATTCTCACTATCGTTAGATTGTGTGTGTTTTATGAGGAGGGGGAGGGGAGGGGAGGGGGACTGAGGTGCCCCTTTGTTGTCTGGAGTATAAATGTTCATTTTATAGAATTTTTCTTAATCAAATTTTAAGAAAAAGTGTCGTTAAAAAATTAAACGATTCTGACAACCAGAAACCCCTGTCCTTTTTCGAAAAAACGAACCTGGCAACTATAAACTAGTTTCCTTTTTAAAAACTATTCTGGTAACCAGAAACTCGATTTTGCGGTAGGAGACAAGAGTGGACTGGCTAAAAAGATCCATAAGACTGAAATCTAGCTTGTGTTGCAAAACCAGTCCGATTGTATTCTCTTCTGGCAGCAATGCAGTTCTTAATGAAGTTTTCTTTTTCACATATTTGCACTTAAAAGTCACTCTAAGAACGTCACACGATTCGTCGTAGGTCTCTTCAGTAAGTGCGCGAATTTTAATTTGATTATGTCTATGGGTGCTTTCCCAGAGATTTAGATCGATCTAAAGATTAAGTTTTAGATCGACCTAACTCCCTGGGGGTTCACGCTAAATTGCAGTCAGCCGAGCGGGCACCATAGTTAATTAGCCCCTTACAGCTTTTAGTAGGCGGGACAGACGCTTAAGCCGGCCAAGCTGACAGTAATCTAGCGAGACTCCCCACAGGGATAGATCGATCTAAAATTCTATGGAAATGGGGTCTATGGTATAGGTTGAATCTGACCTCATCGGCGTAATTTGCATGTTTCCAAAATTGTGCCCGAAACCGCTATTAGATGCTAGTCCACTGCAGAAGTAGTCGGCAGTGCAGCTCTATCGACAGAGGCTTCCTCGGAGGTCGTCTTGCATAGCCTAGTTTTGTTTTGTTGATTATCTGAAGGTTTTCATGATGAAATTAATCAGTACGGCGCATGTATGTTTTGTTTTTTCAATTCGGTTAAAATACTAGCACTTGACCGATTTTGTTAGTTTACCTATTTACTAACCATCTATTCAAATCTATTCTACTAATAGATTTATTTTATCATTACATTTTTACATTTCATGGTTGACTGATGTAGTATTTTAAAGTCGTTTTACATGGTGTTTGGATCCATATAATGAACAGATAAAAAATGACAGATGTCCGTAAGCAGAAACGAACATAAGATATTTATAGTATATTCACAGACACAGTGTTAGGTCTGGTCAATTCCGCATCTATGGGTCTCAGTGAATGACGAACAAGACATGACTATGTGAATTTCGAGTTTTATAACATAGCCATTTGAAGCTCAAGAATCCACAGTAAGAAACGGACGCGACATGGGTCGTGTCAATCTCGCATCTATACTGTAGAGTTCAGTAAGTGGAGAAACAGACACAGCCATGTCATTTTCGGTCTCAAAGCTCTGTAGTGAAGGACGAACGCGGCATAGGTAGGCCTTGTCAATGCCGCTGCTCTAGGGCTTAATAACATACGAAATAGACACGCTGCATGTGGTTTTAGCATATGAAGGGGCGTCAAAAAAACGCACGCGTAGGCTCCTATGGGCCATGGTTCTTTCACTCTTTCTTCCTTTCTGTCTTTCTTTTTCTCTCACTTTCTTTCTTTTCTTACTTATTGAAACATAGGCAGGCAGGCAGCATTGGTCTCGGATTGCTCAGTATAACTGCAAAGTTGACCGAAAAGAGCGTGACAAAATGTTGGTCGAGTGTCCATCTGTTATTGCAGCAGCTGTGCTTGCAAGTGTTTCACAACTAAAGCATTTAGTAAACCGGTCAAATTCTCTCTTAGAAGCAAGCTTGACACGATGATGGTTTAGACATAAATGCAGAAAGATACAAATTGATTATATATTAGTGTTTTGGCAGGTCTATCGTTGTTAGGTGTGCGGTTTGAGGCGTCGTTGAGATATGCTGTTATCTAACGGAGGCTTAATAGATAATGATGCTGATGGCTTTTTCTTGATTCTCGTTTTATAAAGATTAATCAATGAATTTACTTCTCGTTGTTTTATTTATCTATTTTATCAACCATATGTTAATTCCATTTTGTATTTTTATTCATTTGTTTCATTTATGTATTGATTTTAAGGCAGTAAATTGTACACGTATTGATAGAGGGTTCAGGGACGAGATAAATTAAACATAGGTTTGAATTAATGCAGTGCAGTACATGTATAACAGCTAGGTCAAGGGTATGGCAGGCCTACTGGAATATTGATCTAGAACTGTGCCGTGTTATAAGTGACAGGCTCCTACCGTGGTACACTCACAACAACAGGATCTCTGCACGCTGGGATATCTCAGGGCCGGATCCAGGATTATTTGAAAGGGGGGGGGGATTAGGTATGACAGGATGCGGATTCGAAAACGACCCTCGCTGTAGGGGCCTGAAAAATATTGGTATTTTAGGGGGCGAGCGGTGCCATTTGGCACGGTTTAGAGCAATGAGTCAGCTAGTCAAAATTCTTATTTCAAGAGGGGACCTTTGGTGTGATTTTTTTTCAGAAATCGAAGGGTTCGGGGGTAGGGGGGGCAGGACCCCCCTGACACCCCCCTTAATCCGCCATTGTATCTTCTACATGTAGTCGGTTTCCACAAAACTGTAAATTATAGAGCAACAGCAGCGGCAGTAGTAGCAGTAGTAGTAATGGTATAAATAAAAAATTAATTAAAAACCGGACAGGATAAATAATTCATTGAATAAGATAATGTAGAATGAAGTAAGAAGAAATAAACTTTTAAAATGAAAATAGCATCGCGTTAGGCCAGGCGTTAGGTTTTAAATCCCATCACGTCTTCACCCTCGGCTTCAGGTTACTGACGGTGATACCCCTTTCTTCCGCTGATTATAAAAGTCGGCTTCCGACAGATTCTATGACACCGGGTGCCTTTTCGCCGATGTCTGGCGATCCCGTTCGTTTGAGACATGTATGAATATAGTCCGGCTTCTTACATGGCCGGCCAATTCTTGTATTACGTCCAATCTTTAAAACTTCCATTTCTTTAGTCATATACAGCTGTGTTGACATTTTAGTTCAAGTAAACGTAAGTAGACCATGCAAATGGATACGTGGCTGGACGTTATTGTTCGATATATAATAATTCATCATTCATCACCCCCCGGTATTCATTTGGAAAGCTTTTTAAAGAAAACAAACTCCGGATTCGCAGAACGCCACAGTTCAAAAACGTGCCCTGTTATTTCTCATTTAGTGAATAGTAAATTTTCTGCTCTGGCAGTCACTCGAAATGTTTATTGTGTTTTTAGTTGACAATAATGCCCTCGCATTTAGTCAACTGCTGGTGCGTTACGTGTATTTCAGGTAAAACTGCGTCTTAAACTTTATTTCAAGGACATGGACGCGTAATCCTAACAATATAGGGGAAAACTCAGAAGAAATTAGGTAAACGAACGGGTTTGGTTTTCTAAGGCTCGGCTCTGGACTCCATTTCACTATGCAAAATCTATATGAACGGTTTCTGATCTAATTTTGCTTTCCAGCAAAACATTTTGGTCGCTTTTCTTAATCGTTATGATCTCTTCTCCAAAACGTTCGCTGTTTATTAACATTGAATAATTAATGTGAGTGTATAGACCGCCCCCCCCCCCTCTCCAAGGTACACAAAAAGGTAACCATGTGCCTTCTGGGATCATGACCCCAATACTGTATCAATACGTTTGATATCATGTTTGTTTCACGAGATAAAGCAGCCCACATACTATAAACTACATGGACAATACTAGCAGTTCAAATACGGCAAGACGCCGAGCGTCAAGTGTCGTAGTCTACGCTTTATAACTGGAGTGCTTGATGATAAATTCAATAGGCGACTAGTGTTAATAAGATTTCACTCGTTTCGGATTCCATAATCCCTTATAAAATCTGCACAGCGTTACCAACATTGTTATCTTTGGGAAAAATTTTAATAGGGGCCCACAAATTCTTTCGTCTATCCACATAACACGTACATTAGCTTTATAGGCCCTATAAGGCCAGAATATGGGTATTATACAGCTTCATTAAAAATACACAGTTTTAAACATTTTCAAAATTAGCGTATAGCCTATAACATTACATGTCAACACACATTGAAGATACATGGGGATATCAATGTGCATGAAAACATTTCGCTTTTTCAAAATAAAATTTGACAAAATCGTCAGCGCTTCTTAAATAATCGTCTGTCTAGGGCCGAATAAGAGTGTAAAAATAAAACCAGTTTTGTAATCGACCAGAATCATGATAAAAACGGGCATTCAGTCCTAATTAATAATAGGCCCTACTAATAAAACACTCAATGAAAGAAGGTCGCTCGATTTCTTTATATCCGTTTATTAGCAGCATGAACAAAATGCACATTTTAGTTTGAAAGCATGGGTTGATGCGATTTTCGTGTGAAAACAGATATAAAAGAAAACAGTTCTTTTGAATTGGAAAATCGATCTCTGTATTCGAGCATCATGCGCAAATGTTGCATTATTGTGCGAGACGTGATTCGAACAATCATTGACTTCATTATTTTTACCATTACGAACGGCACACCCATGCGACAAACAGGTCCTTTAAAAGCGGTCTGTATTTCCATAGCGTCGCGCTCGTTTCAGGGTCACATATTTTTTATTGCGCACCTGGGTGATCTGTGGTAAACACTTTAGATAGCTCACCTCAATCGACTGGGCTATTCATGAATATTTAAAGAGACTTGGAAATCGATTCCTCAGCAAATGAAGTTAAGTGTACTAAAGGGGCGTGGGCTGTTTGATCTAGTTACGTACAATCTGATTGGTTGTGGGTTAGAGTTGTTTTGCAGAGGACGGACTGCATAGATTTCAGCTCTGCACAGTCGGCCTTCAAGCGGAGAGTGACGTATAGTTATCCCTTCTGTGTTTTGAAGGTAAGCGTCCGCTTTTGATTGCTCAGTTAACGGTCTAAGTCTGTAGTAATAGAGTTAGTAGTGGTAAAAGTTACTGACAATCACCGGTGAGATGCGTAGCTTATCATTTAGTTTGAGCTTTGAAGAGAGCCGGCCGCTGTAACGAGACCCGCTGTATAGACCCGATCTAGGCACAAGAATATTCCTTGGCAACCAATGACAACAAACGGAGCTAATGCATTTTGCCCACGCATAGTCGACTTGACTTCGCTGTTGACTTGGATTGTAGCGAGACAAATAAGTCGTGGCAGTGATGCACAGCTTTGCATCTATTGAGTTATAGTTAATGCAGTTGAAACATTTCATCACTGCCCTGCCTACCAGACACTCGAGAAAAACTTTGCGCGGTTTATTAATTCTTTTTAAAAAATGCAATCAGCTTTGTGAAAAGGCCCGTTAAATATAGAGAAATCGAGAAAATTTACATTCTTTTATTTTAATTAAGATATATTTCTATGACCTTATACATATTGTTTTAGAGATAACTGTAGAAAGCTCACCCTATCAAAACTTCCCCTGAGAGACAGCGAAAGTGAAACTGAAACCTCTGTTGTTACAAGAGCTTATGTTAAGTGCATGGGAATAAAATACTAATATGATCTAACAAAAGTGGAACACTTGGGTTTGAATGTTTATTGCACCAGAGATAAACTTAGAACACATATTGTATACACAACAATTTTAATTTACCCATGCTGCATATACTACATATATATATAGGCCTATACTATATTTATTTGTTTGTTTGTTTGTTTGTTTAAGCAGTAACAATTAGAAAATAATGATTAAAAATATTGCACCCCTGACATTTTATATGTTTTGCCAAGGAAAGTGAGGGTGGGACGCTGAACTACAAAGTTAACATTTGAATGTTTTTATGCTGAAGAAGCCTGGCGTTTTTCTTTGCATTAATAAAGTGAAAACCCAAAGGGGATTAGTATAGGCAATTTAGTTGCTTTATTATTCTAAAACGTTTAGAGAGATAATATCACCTCAGATGACAGTGTAAGGTGCTGCATGGTAACTTTAAATTATTGTCCGCAGATATGTCAAGCCTTTGGTAAGTCTTACACCCCATTTCCATAGATTTTTAGATCGATCTATCCCTGTGGGGTGTCTCACTAGATTACTGTCAGCTTGGCCGGCTTAAGTGTCTGTCCCGCCTACTAAAAGCTGTAAGGGGGTAATTAACTATGGTGCCCGCTTGGCTGACTGCAATTTAGCGTGAACCCCCAGGGAATTAGGTCGATCTAAATCTTAATCTTTAGATCGATCTAAATCTCTGGGAAAGCACCCTTAGCTATAGGCATATGACATGAGACTCAGAAACATTGGACTGCATTGTGGATTTTACCTTGAACTGAGTGCTAAGCTCACACACACAGTAGTATCAGCACATGTGCAGCAGGGGCGGATCCAGAGATATTTTCTGACAGTCTTCCAAATTATCTCTGTTAATTCGTCCTCAATTTCTGACTGTCTTCTGACAGAAAATATTAGATACCCGTCAATGTAAACTTAAAAATCTGACCGTCTTCCAGAAGACCCAGAAGACGGCCTAAATCCGCCCCTGTGCAGTGATAAATAGACTTCCCGATCTGCCAGTAGAGCTCTGTAAAGCCCCCTTTACACTGGACAGGGTCCTTTCTGCGTTGCGTAGTACGTTCCCTTTTGAGAGTAAAAAAAAAAAAGAAATTATGTAGTGACAACTGGCCATTCATTGAACATTCATTCTGCAACCAAAGCAATGCTTGCGCATCCTTTCAATGACCACAGTGTTGCAAGTTGCATGGTTGCACAAAGGATGCAGAAAGGACGCCGTCCAGTGTAAAGGGGGCTTTAACAGTTAATATCTACTAATACTATCTAATGAAACATGCAATTACATTTACGCTTGTAAACCTGATATCACATAAGTGTGATAATAGGTCTAGATATATATTACATGTATGTATAACACAAGTAGTTTAGAGGGCCTGTTAAAATAAATGTACTGAAACATTTTAGTGCTCAATAAAAAAATTATTATTAAATTATTATAAGTTAATAGTAAACAGTTATTGAATAATGATTTGCTGTATAACATGGATTTTTTTTCTTTTTTTTTTTTTAGATATTATATCCAGTTTGCCAAGATGAGTGATAGCGACCTTAAAGCCAAGTTTCTGGAATATTGTACATTTGGTGGACAAAAAGATAAGACCACAATCACCACCAAAAACGTGAACAAAATGTTTAAAGATTGCAACATCTTCAACAAGAAGTTTAACAGTAACGCCTTAGACATTGCATTCTCTAAAATACTATCTAAAGGTCCAAAGGGGTAAGTCATTTGATTTTATTTTAAATTGAAATTTCTTGTAGTGTTTGACTTTAATCATGTATTTTAGTGATGTTAGTGCACATACATTTGAAGCTAAAGCTATGTTCATCGTATTTTTATAATATAATTATAGAATTCACTACCCTGTAGGCATATTAATTGGAAAAAAGTTGAGTTTGAAATACAAAAGATAATGAATTTTTATGGTCATGCACACATTTTTCTGATGTTCTCGCTATAAGTGCATTTTGCAGTTTCAGTGTATTTTTGATTTACATTTTGCTATGTACATGTAATTGACTTGTGCATTAAATTGATTTTCTCATTCTTTATAGTAGATTTTCATAGGTGCATCTTTATAGTAACTTATTAACACAGTGGTTAAAACGATCACTTGCTTCTCTTTTTTTTTTTTGGCCATTGGCCATAAGTGCATTTTGCAGCTTCATTGTATTTTTAATGTAAATTTTGCTACGTAATTAGCTTGTGCATTAAATTGACTTTCTTATTCTTTTTAGTAGATCTTCAATAGGTGCATCTTTATAGCAACTTATTAACACAGTAGTTAAAACAATAACTTGCGTTTCTTTTTTTTTTGGGCCATTGTATACATATATACAATCATTACGTTGCAGGGCAAAAGAACTAAATTTTCAGCAGTTTAAGGATTTGCTGGCACTTCAAGAAATAAAAGATGCACACAAAGATAAGGACATTGCAAGCATTATTACTGGTGGTGGTGGACCAAGCCTGGCTGGCACAACTGTAAGTTTAATTATTGCAGAATTTGTCAGGAGCCCTATATAAATGCAAAATGTATTAGTTATTGGGGGTGGGTGGGTGGGTGGGGGTAAAGGGGGGGGTAGAGGGCATTGAGATCAAGTTGATCTGCGGACTAACAGGTCTTTGGACTTAATATGGCTGACTCACTCACAAGCAGTTTAGTTCAGACCTACTAAACTTTTATTTTTATGATAAAAGCTCTGCAAATTGTTGTCCATCACGATTTTTTGATTTTTTGAAAAGCAAGCTTTACTTGAACATTTGACTTTTATCTTTTTGCAACCTACCTCTTCTCATTTACCTTTTTATCACTATATTTTTCCTGCACTGTCAATACTTCCATATTAACTCAAGTGCATTTTGATCATCAAAAGTTTTCTTGGTATAGCTATATTTTACATGACTATTTTGTAACTCAGAAAATATCTGGTTTCAGGGCACAAGTAAGACTGGCAATGTTGCGGGTATGACAGATACGTCCAAGTACACTGGCTCTCACAAGGAGAGATTTGATGAGTCTGGCAAAGGCAAGGGGATTGGAGGCCGGGCAGATATTGCTGATGGCAGTGGATATGTTGGAAATTACAAGGGCGCTGGAACATATGACGCCACGCACTGAGATTAAGGACCCTACTTTTTGTTCATTTGATGCTTTGTGTTTGTTTGTAGGCAGCCGTTTTAATATGTTGCTTCACTTAGAAGAGAGCAGGCTTTGGTTTTGAGAAACATTTTAATTATAGTAAAAGATATTGAAGAATTTGACTGTGCTTGTTGGAATGCAAAATTTTTGTTGATATACATGTAGATTCTAAACTTCAAGTTGGTGGACAATTCTAAATAGTTTAGTGGTCAGTTAGTGAAAATTTCATCGTCAGTTTGAAAAATAAGGAAGATTTTTGTGTGCTAACAGTGTCATCATACATATTATTATTGCCCCATTTATGTGTTTATAGAGAGCATTTATAGAAAAAAATTAGGGGATTTTTCCAGGGTTTTGTCGATATAAAAATACAATTAAGCCAGATTAAATTGATAAGTTAATTGGTATACACGATGACTGACCTTACATTTGAAGAAATTGGATTTATATAGGCAGTACCTAGATCACTTATCTATCAAAAGCTTTTGTCCATACTTAGAAGTACATTGAGTCAAGTGCAAAATAACATGCACCCATAAAATTATGTCATAAATGAGGAACTGGAGCAAATCTTGTTGTTGCTGTATTTTTGAAAGTGGCATTCTTTTGAGATAAAAGCTTATGATGACATTAAGAAAATAATTAACAGAACAACAAATTAAATCTCTAAAACCTAAATTCAAGTATGTATTTTGTGCGTGGGCACAAAGTTTCTAATTCTGATGATTGCTTTTAATTTTGCCACAGGCTTGAATATGTACTGATTACAGTTTTATTCAATTTGGTAATGTTGCCCATCTTTCTGGGGTACTTCAGTGTTGGACGCTTTAGTTTAAAGGACAGCTACATGTTATTTCAATCCGTCCAAATATTTGTTCTGAAATATGATTTTTTAAATTTATATTTTTATTAATACAAAGCTCATGTTTAATTTTTAATATTTCATTTTGTTTTATTTAGAATTTGCTTATTTACTGTACATCACAAACAGCTTCAACTTAGCAAGCAGCTGCTTTTGTCAAATTATATACAGCATACAGGGTTTTGGTACACTTATTGTCACTAACAGGATATTTTGTATTGGAGATACTGGATAAAGCCATTTGGATTTTTATTCTGCACATTTTACCATTATGATACAACTGTCAGCATGGTAAAATGGATTTTTCATATTCTTTTGTGCAAAGATCAGAAAAAAGTTAAATTTAACTCGCATCCACTACTCTTGTCATGAAAACGTCATTTCTCATATAATCTTTAAAGTTAGAAACCAGTGACTTTTTTTAAAGAAACCAAACAGCATGTAGAATATGTGATAATTTTGTATTTACACAACAGTTACTCACCAGCTTATCTGTAAAAGTTTTTTAAAAACATTTTTAGCAATATGTTTATTTGAGATCTTATTTACTTGTATATTTTCAACTTATCCTATTCTTATTATGATACACGTTTTATTGTCAAATGTTCTGTGCCTGTGTTTTAGGGGTCTTCAATAAATTCCAATCAAAAGATGAATTGTATGGATTTTTTCTTACTTCAAACAGTTGCTTTGTTTTGTATATGTATTCATATAACGTTATAGATCAACCATGCCAAGCTGTAAGACCAGTAATCCAATGGTTTCCCAAAGTGGAAACTGGTGGTCAATGTTTACTTAACGAAGCTCAAGATTTCTTGATTATGCCTGTCAATACTTTTTATTGACATCAGTAGATCACTTTTCACCCTTAATTGTGTGTACTGAGAAGGGGAGGGTGGGTGGGGTGGGGGCACACCCAGCAACTGATTTCTGGTTGGAACTGAACATTTTTGACACATCCTTGTGTTATTCTAAAATGTCCTGGTTTTCTTTATAATCAATGAATACCCTTTACCAAGGTCACAAAGACTTAGATATTCACAGATATTTTTGTTGCTAATTCCATGCATATTTCTGTCCTGTTACTACCAAGCTGGTCTCTCGTAAAAAAAGTAAACAATCAAAGCAGCAACTGGAGTCAGACATGATGTTCAACATTCAGTTGAACATCTATAAAACTCTAATATCAATGACCATGTAAAACCATTTTACTTACCATTCAGTCCACGTCTCCCTGCTAGTTTCATGTCAATTTTCTCCATACTAAGTCCATAAAGTAGACTCCATCAGACCTCTGTGATTAACATTTTGTTTCCATTTCAAGTAATATCGTAAAAATCATAATGTATATCTCCCAGGCTGTATAACAGCACTAAGTGGACATAGCTAGCCCAAGTGCTTTTCCACAGTTGGCTGGGCTGAATATAGAACCCCCACCCCCTTTTTTTTTTGAAGGGACTAAAAACAAGTTTTTGAAATAGTAAAACGATTCAAATATTAAGCATTGTTTGAAATTTGAGTGTAATTACCATAATGATTATAGTCATCTGCCTGAGAACAAATTTCAACAACATTCAAATTTAAATTTGCAAGTCTATTGAATATCAAAGGATTTCGATTGTTATGTTTATGCCAAGGCCAAATGGCACACAGCATATACTAACAAATTTACAAGCTGCTACTGTTGACTAACTCGGTGCTTATAGCATACTCAAACAACACTACGCAAGTTATTTAACACCAATTATAGTTTATTTGGAGTAGGTAGAAAATAAATATTTACAATATATGAAGCAAAGTTTGATGGAAATGGTGACATAAAGTACATTTAGCCATGAAATTTGATTATATGCAAGTGGTATTTGGCAAATATTAACAATAAAAATCACAGCTGAGGAGTGTAGTTGAAGATCCCTTATGGATAAACAAACTTCTTCACTTGAATGACAATAATTTTCGTGATCAAAAGATCACCTCTTTACATCAAGCACTAAACTAGATACGAGAGTGCCTGCAGTTCACTCGAATGCTAACAAGTATAGCTACTCACACAGGAATCTGCATGGAAAATCAATATGTGGTTTTAGGAGGTTAGAACGAATAACTGTGTTAAGTCCTCGCTTCCCTGGAGATTATATATTAAACTGGAGGTCTTAAATGCAGAAGTATAAATGGGGGCTATGTAACCATTTGCTACCTAGTAACCCTAATATCTGATTTTAGGAGGTTAGAGTGGATAACTGTGTTAAGCTCTCACTTCCCTGGAGATAATACACGAAACTGGAGGCCTTAAAAGCAGACATGTAACCATTTGCCCCCTATTAGTCCCATTTTAAACAGTAAGCACTCTCTAATACTTATCATGTATAACATGGTTATCATGGAAGACATTAACCAGCATAAAATCCCCAGTGTTGTTGAGGCGGTACAAATTCCATTGTTTGGTGGTTGGTATGGAAAGGAGGATTCCAGAAAATCCAAAACAGAGGCGGTTTGGGCTGGAATTGTAACAGACTTACGACAAATTAATCATGTCATGATAGAGTAGAAACAGAGTTAAAAGCACTAATGTTCAATTGACACCACCATAATTTCCCAGAGAATACTGTAATTTCCTTTTACAAACCAGCATTACTTCTTAATTAGGTTGTCCGAAACAGCATGTGTATGTAGTGATGAAACAGCCAAGTTTCTAATTAACTCAGAACCTAAGGGCTGAAGAATAACCATTGCTTAGGCTTCTAAGATAATATTCCAGTTATGACCACAGCTCTCTGAACATTGAAAATCACCTGGTCTTCCATAATACTTTCTGTGATAAATCAGACTGATACTACCCAGACTCATACGATCAATAAACAATGTTTTGTCACATTCCACTCTTGACATTATGATAGTATGGGTGAAAATTGTAAAAACTGATAATCCTGATTATGAAAATGTAGCCGGGTGGCGAAGAGGCTGCAGGGCCCTCAGTGGGTCCAGGGCAACGGAATTAAGACTTAAAATCTAGCAATCCAGCATAATATGGAAAATTTTCACCCATGTAATCCTTAACAGAAGGCAGTGAACCAGGAAAAATACAGGGGCGGATCCAGGGATATTTTCTAAATTATCTTAAGTTTGTTGATCAATCTTCCATTTTTGACCATCTTCCCGACTTCCGACAGAAATAATTAGATGCTGGTCAATGAAGAAGAACCAGAAGACGGCCTCTGTCCGCCCATGGAATAAGTTGCAATTTGGACATTTCTGTAACTGACTGTGCAATTTCCATTTCTAAATGTATTTTCATTGATCTGTGGTGGGGATTATAGATATTACCCTGGCAGTCATGAGACCCTGGAGTGTCAAGACACTATGCAACCTCCAACATGTGACTTTAAAGAGAGAAAAGAGAAGCAAGTCCTAAAAATAAATATTAAATAAATAAATAAATAAATTTTTTTTAAAAATCCACTGATGAAAACAATATACATTGCACTAAACCTATGGTTTCCTTAAGGTTATCATATCATATTCTGCACTGGTGACCTGATGTGAACACACAGAAAAATACATTAATAATAATAATAATAATAATAATAATAATAATAATAATGAAAATGAAATAACAATGCAGTAACAAATATATATATATAATCTTACAATAATTATACTGAGCAAAAAGTGAAAGGTGGGATTATACAAAATGTTACACATTGATAAAAAAAGGACTTCACATACAAAATGATATGTACACTTAATATTATACAAAAGGTTGAAGTAAAAATATAGATACCACTCCAGTCAAATGACTGAAAAGAAAATGACGCAAGAGTAAGCTTGTTAATTAACTACTTTACAAGAACTTTACAAGTTTCTTATTTGGCTGATGCATCATATTATAGAATATCCCCTTTCAGGAGTTTAAGTGGCCATGGTTTGTTGTGATACAGTATTGTTTACCCTCTGGTTACAATTGGTGGCAGTGACCAAAATTACAAAAATAAAACTGAAAATATGTTCTGTTCCTTTGATTGATATTAAAACAGCATCTGGGACTATTTATATTTATGCTGTTAAAATATACAAATCATTATAAATATAAATGAAACAGCACAAACCAATGAAATGAGCACAATATATCTTGAAATTGAAACTATGCTGTAAGGGTTTTTGTTCAAATAAAGTGCTTGAAATGGGCAGCTTTAATATTACACCTGTAATTACCTTGTTCTGACACAATAAACCAAAAGATCCCAGGGTCAACATGTTTTTGAATGCATACAGATGCCCTTAAGTCCAACTGGTCATGCAGGCCAAGAGTTAATTAATTTTTTTCAACAGCTGTGCATACCAATTTTAAGTCTGCTCCATGTTCATTCACTGGTATGGAACATCAGAAGAAACCAGAAATTTATGTTTTGAAGAAATAAACTCCAATTTGCAAATCTTCCTGCTCATTACCTGCTACAAGTACAAAATACAACATACCGCTCTATGTGAAAAAAAAAAAATAAATAAAACTAAATATAAATAAATAATAAATAAAAAGTACAAGGAAACTGTTCTTATTGATATCCATTTGTATGAGTGCTATCCCCCATGGAGGGCAGAAAACTCGCAGTCTTTTTCATCTGTTCATAGCTCCAATGGAGCTGCTGAACCTCAGCCTTGTGACGCTCTCGTGACTCATCCAACTCACGGATTAGGTGCTCATTTGTCTGCACTAGAGACCTAAGGGAATAAAATAAACAATGAAACCATTATTTAACAAAATATATAATTCACTGCACATTAGGCAGATAACATAATATAATATGAGGAAATGGGTATAAACACTGTGCTGCACATTTCATAAATTGATATCAGAGAGAGAGAGCTTCCAACTGAAGAAAAGACTTAAATTCAATTTCTTAATTAATTAAAAGCAGAAGCGTAGTTTATTTTCCGTTTTTTTTCCTTCTAGTATAAGAAAAATCAAATTTCAAATGTTGAAAACCAATGAAGTATGTTTTTAATTACATTCATGTTTGAATCTAATAAAATGCAGCATCAATTAATACATCAAAATGTTCATGCTCAACTGAAAATTTTAATAAAAAGAAACAAGTGCAGAAGACACCCATACAAGAGAGAGAAATGATTACAGTTCTTACTTGTGACTCTCCTGTAACATGGATGCCAGTTCCTGCATCTGGGCATACTGCTTCAGACGGATCTTTAACGTGTCCGTCTCGTGTTGCAACCTCTGGTTTTCTGCATGCAGCTCTTCTGTAACGCGATGACAACAGAACTTACTTGTGTTGCGAGAGAACCAACTCAAGTTTTTAAAAGAACAATTTATAATTCATCACATTTTGACGGGCCATTCACACCTAAAACAGGCCCTCCACTTCTGTTCAAACAGGCTGTCCAATGGCTAAACCCTTTGTGATGTCCACTATGGACCCATTCCCAATAAAGCGATCATTCTACGTAGATCGATCCAACTCTGTGGGGACTCTCATTGAATGCAATCAGATAAACAAACCACCTCTTGTTTCTAATGTTCTCCTATATAATCACCAGCATTTCTGTATTCTACTCAATGCCAGGAGGTGGTGTGTTAATCTGTGATAATCTCACTGTTTTCAGGAAGAGTCCCGCGGAGTTGGATCGAACCTACATAAAACAAGGATTTCCAATGGGAATGAGCCCTATAAGCCATACTGGCAAGGGTGTTCCCAGTGAACCATCAAGTTGTCATTTGGATGGCCACCAGCATCACTGGACGGCCTTTATTTTCAAAGACAGCTGGATGGCTTATGGTATTTTTGGTCATATGACAACTTTAGGCATACTTGGACTCACTGAAATTTTGTCAGAAATCACAGGTGGTTATTTTGGATGGCCTGTACCCATAATCCTAAGAAAAACCCTGCAAACAAGTGTTTGGTATGGACCAGCCGGAACTCAAACCAATCCTAGGCACCATCTTCAGGGAACCACTCTACCTACCAAGATGTCTGCTGTCCACTGTGCCGGAACCTAGTCCTGTAAACGATGTGTTCTTGGCTGTCTGTTGTCCACCTTCTGATGCTGAGAGCCTCTGTTGTAACACCTTGTTCTCCTCAATGGACTGCTGCAGCCTTTCTCTTAAGATTTCCTGAAGATTTTATAAAAGATTTTAAATCATGATATACTGAAGCCCTTTTTTAAAAACCTCCTTAACAGTTACATATACATTACAGTGTCTAAATTTCCCAGGATATTTTTTTATGTCATTCTAAGGAAAACAATTTGGTAAATATCTCTGATTTAGCAAAAAGACATTTTTTTAAAAATGTAATAAAAGTTTTTTAAAAATTAGTGCATACATTTGCCATGATATTATCCTTATAAAAGTGATAATTGTTTTGGGGGAAACTGGTGTATTTATAAATTCACACCATTCAATCCTTACCACATCTTTCTGTGCTTGGTGTAAAGTGTTTTTAAGTCTAGGATCCTCTTCTTCAGCTCTCTGGTTAGCCAGGCTCTCAAGCCGTTCCCGTAGCTGACTATTCTCTTGCTTTAGCCTGTCTATCTGCTCCTGTACCTGGGCCATGCCAGGGCTCTCATCTTGGCCCTGCAGGTGCTCATTCAGGTAGCCGTGGGCCATCTCTGAAAGTAAGGCATGCCAATAAGGGTTTTCCCAGCAAACCGTCCAGCTTTTTGGATGGCCGCCAGCATCATTGGATGGCCAATATTTTTAAAGACAGCTGGACAGCTTAAGGATTTTTTTGGAAATATGACGGCTTGAGGCATACTTGGACTCCCTGTAATTTAGTAGGAAATTAGGGTTGGTAATTTTGGACGACCTGTACCCCCCCCAATCCTGGGAAAAGCCCTGCATGTCAAACATAGCTGCAGTCAAAGTACGCCTTATGCCAGGAATATGAGGATCAAGATACATATCTTGATATATCTTAGCAACCAGTCTGTGATAGTAGCACTAGCCCCACATCTAATGCCAACAAAAATTTGTAAATTTAATGATTAACTGTTCACTTTTTCCCCGATTTGGGTCAGTAGATTCTTAGATCTTTGCAGCTTGAAATGTAAAAACTTATTGAAGCACATAAGGATCAGGTTTCATATAACACAACAATGCTTCTAGAACCTTAAAGCAATAACTCTTCCTTTGAGATTCAAAATTCCGCAAGAAATACATTCTAAACAACACACGGAAATATATTATGTTGCATTTCACCACTAAAACAGCTGTTATTGTAGTAAAACTAAAAACTGTGCTTGCCAATAGGGCTTTCGGTGCCTTTTTTCCCGGTCATCAAGGCATTCGTTGCCAAGGATTTTGGCCGTCACGCGGATTCTCGCGTGCAGTCGAGACAAAAGTAACACAGGCGCATGACACAATCCTCAGACGTAAGTAGCGAGTTTTTGTACAGTGTGTCGGATAACGAAAAGCCCAGAACTGCACACGTTGTGAATATGAGCAATTAAGACGATTATATCGTATGAATCCTATTTTATTGCAATAAAGTGTTGTTGTTGTCTGCTTTTCCCGCGGTTTTAAGTAGGTCATCAGAAAACCCCGCTCGATATGCTATGTTAGAGAGGGCTCCGTCAGTTAAAATCACTTAAGAGATTTTAACAAAAAACAGTACGTTTAGGAAAAAAACCCTGGATTAACTTTGAATGTAGGAATGGGGTCGCTGACCATTGGTGAGTACGGGAAAATTGCCGTTTACTCCAGGAAAATCCAATTTTTGGCCAAAACGAAGAGTTATTATGACTTTAAAGAACGTAAACAGCAGAATAAACAAACATTTTCACAATTTTCACTTTTATTCCAGTACAGCATTTCTACAACACAAGGCATGGACTAAGACAGTGTGCACAGTTTCAGGTATACAATTAAAAAAAAAAAAAAAAGCCACTCACTTTGAAACCTGGAATTCCTATGTAAAGATTTGGCCCCATTCCAATACTTGTCTGCCAGATCACAGAGATGACTTAGCAGTTCTTCTCTGCCTAGCCCCGCTGACTCACTGCTGACATCTGGTGGTGGCCTGATGGAAGATGGCGGCTCGAGGATAGATGGTATTTGTGACAGGGTTGTTTGGCGTTGATCTGGCTGTGGCTGGAGTTTCTCAGGAGGAGTGTGACCAAGCTGCAGACAGAATATATATATATAATGTAATGAATTGAATAGCATCTAAAACCCCCTTTACACTGGACAGCGTTCTTTCAGCGTCCTTTGTGCGACCATGAAACTTGCATCACTGTGGTCATAGAAAGGAGGCACAAGCATCGCTTTGGTTGCAGAAAGAATTCTCAATGATCGACCAGTTGTCAGCATGCAAAATACATATATTTTTTACTCTCAAACAGAGTATTTTGGAAGAGATTCAAAAGTGGAGAATGGATTAACAAAGATAATTTGGAGGTCTGTTGGAAAATATGTCCGGATCTGCCCCTGACTAGCGCTGAGATTTTTTGATAGATAGCAACGTACTGCTGAATGGTAGTACGGAGGGTTGTTGGGTTGTGACACACTGCTAAACATAATACCATTTTAAATTGACTAACGCTGAGATATTTTGATAGCTAACCTGGTGTTGTACACTCCTGGTTGGGGAGATACTGCTGTATGGTATATTTGACTGGGCTTGCACTGGGGGTTGAGCATAATTCTGTTCCTGTGTCAATGGCTCTGCTGTGACCTGACCAGAGGTAAACTTAATGGGTTGGCTGCTGGCAGTACCTGAAACACAGTTTGATAGAATTTTTTATATATCAGGAAAAAAAACATTTCGCGGAAAATTCATCCGACCATGTTAACACATTAGGTGACCCTGGGATTTCATAGAACTTAAAATAACTTATAAATAAATAAAAGGGATATTGTAAAGTTTGCAATGTCAATTTGCAAACATATAGGGACCATTTCCAGACCCTATTGTACTAACTGTGGATCAATCTATCTTCAAGGGGATTCTCACTAAAGTGCAATCAACTTAAGAGGCTTAGATGTCGCTTAGCAGCTTCAGGCCTACCCAACTACCAGACTCGGCACATAAGGATCCTGAATTAACCGGTGTATCGGACCACACTACCCGTTTTCAAGGTGTGTGTCAGATCGCATTTCGGCGTATCAGTCAGAACACCAACAGGATGAGCCTGCAGTCATCCTACAAAAATAGTTCTGGGGTATGATACTCTGAAATACGATCTGACACGCACCTTGAAAACAGGTAGTGTGGTCTGATATACCGGTTAATTCAGGATCCTTATGTGCCGAGTCTGGTAGTTGGGTAGGCCTGAGCTTCAGTAGGACTGCCTGTACCCAAATCCTGGGAAAAAGCCCTGATTTTCAATATCAAATATATATAATATTGTGAAACTGGAACTGGATAAAAATGAAATCTGAAACCTGTTACTGTTAATGTTTTGACTTTAGCTTCTTTCACATCTGAAATTGCAAACCGTGATCTCTAAAAGGTCTTGGTATTAACTATTAACAGTAAAAAGCATCTTTTAATGTAAATTCAGAGGTAGTGAATGTAAACTAAAAAAAAAAACTCTAAAATATCAGTCAAAAATCAACTGGAAATATTGGATTTGGTTTCAAAGTTTTTAAAACTGATTTATTTATTTCTTGTCAATAGTTAACTTATGATTTTGTCCCCTACCTGGGTGTGGAGTGAAATGACCTTGGACTTTGTAAGACGTGTAGGCATCAATCTCATCTTGATATTTTAAATTGGTGTCAGCTGGTTTGTGAGAAGAATCTTGAAAATGTACCCTTAAAAACAAAAAACAAAGCTTCTGCAAACAAAAAAAAAAGCTCAAACTGGTACCATGTTAATTTTTTGTTTAACAGCAAAAGAAAACAGCTGAACAGTCTGAATTGTGCTATAACATGCCCTTCCACTTCAATAATAACAAGAATCCTTTCAAAGACATCTTTCACTTCACCATTATCCTTTAGTTCTAAAACTTCCTTATCATTTACTCATATTTAGATTCTCATTCAAGTCCTCAAGTTATAATTGTAATACACTTTCAAAATGAGACCAAAATACTCAACAATTATGCCAGCTTCTGTTTAAAAACTATTTGAGGAATCAGAAAAGAATTCCCTTCCCTATGTTATGCACCAAGAGATAGAGCAGTTATTTTTCTTCAGTCAACATCTAGTAATGAAATAGTTCTTTACCTTCAAATTTAGTGTGTCCTTTATTGAAACTATACAACCGAAAGCCCCCATTCCTCAGTGAAGAAACTCTAAACAGACATAAAAATATTGGAGGTTCACAACCATTTTCAATGCTAGCTGTTGACTGAAGAAAAAAATTACTGCTTCAATCTTGTTCAAGGGGCTAAAGTCCTACCTGAATTCTTGTTTTCCTGTGCCAGCATTCCTGTGTAGGGGGTCTGCATGCTCTCCTATACTGCCAAACAAGTGGGGGTATCTATTGTGATAGGAGTCTGAGGTTATCTGAGGGGCTGTGCCTAGAATAAGACACATGGCAAAAGTAATAGATAGATACACCAGCAGCCAGCAAGGTGCAGAGGTCAATAGTACCACCTGTACTACCCTGGTCCCAGTTTCACATTAGTAAAAAAAAAAAAAAAATTGCATTTCAGCACTCTCACATGTACACTTGATTAGCCAGGGAACTGACTTGAATATTTTTTGTGAAACTGGAGCCTGGACACATGTAAAATTGTCCTGCATTTTGTGAAGCGTATTCATCAATGATGCCAAAATGTTATTTTCCTTTCATTAAATTGTTTTCTTTAAGTCTATAAAAATGTGCTCTCTGTTTGTTTCCTTAAAAAAACTCACCACTGATAGTCTGTCCCTTCATGGCTTTGTTGATGGGGGACCCCGGGGGGTATGTGGGGACTGGGGGTGGTGCCGAGGCCTCCATTGCAGCAGACTCCATTCTTTTTATCCCTGTATATACCATCACATTTATGATAAGATTTTCGTTTTTTTTTTAACTTTTAAAAATTAAATGCAATGTTAGTGCATAAAAATTATGTGGACAATTACATTTAACAGCATAAGCACTTTTTAACAATGGAGATTTAATTACTCTTAGGCAATTACTCTCTCTCTCTCTCTTTCTCTCTCTCTCTCTCTCTCTCTCATCACACACACACACACACACACACACACACACACACACACACACACACACACACACACACACACACACACACACACACACACACACACACACACACACACACACACACACACACACACAT